ATGCAGATCACAGCGGTTCAAAATTGGCTTTATGTGTTAACAATTCACTAGAGCCTTCATTTTTCACTCAATTGAATAATTGTTATTTAATTTTTTTTTTCAATTGAAAGCTAATAAAATTTGGAAGATTTCCTGTTCCGGTTAATAGATGTTACATAATAAAAACTAGTTGAAAACAATTGTAGGGTTGTCCCAAAAGAAAAAAAAAAATTCACAGAAATATTTGAAGTTATAAAAAAAAATTTCACCACGTTTAATTTTTTTTTTAGTTTCTAGCAAAATGTTGGGTAGGCAGTTTTATAGACCATTAAATGTTAGTATAATAAAGTACAATTTGCAAGTGGCCAGGTGATCGCGTTGATTTTTATTCCTTTTTTTCACTAACATGTCGCGCACATCTGCATGGTAAATGGGAAATAAAAGAGTTTGTTATGTTTGTTGTTTTTTTTTTTTCAAAAATCGAGCTCAACTGGTCTCTTGCAAATATTATTAGCTTTCCTAAAAGCAAAAAAAAATAAAAGTTTTTGTCAAGTTTAGTGAGAAATGAAGGCTCCAATGAATTGTGAACACAAAATGCCAAGTTTGAACCATTGTGCATCGCCGGTTTGCATGCTCAGAGGGATGATTATTAAAAAAACAACCTTGTTTCCTGTGCCGACTATACATGAAGTAGGGTCCAACCAAATGGTAGTAGACACCTCTAACTACTCGGCTACAACTACCGATAACAGTGTAGTAAGGTAAAAAGTTTCCATTTTAAGCTCTCTGTGAACCTTAGTTAATTTTTTTAGGAATTTTTTTGTGGAATAATTTGGTCCTAAAAAGTCCTTGTAAATAGGACTTCTAGGATATTTTTGAAAAACGTGGGTCAATATGACCCCTAAATAGTAACTTTTTTGGTTAGGGAGATCAAGAAAATTATTTGTCGTACAATTGCAGGGGGTTCTTGAACAAATGAAGTACGAAAAATTAAAAATAAGATCTCTTTATGACAAAAATATACTTTCTAACTCAGTAAAATTCAAAAATTTAGTAGATCAATTTCCAGAAAAAAATGATGGGATGGAATAACACTGAGAAACCGGTTTATCTACATTTGAATACTGCATGTAAAACTACTGCTGAAAAGTGTCTACTTTTCAACCAGATTCTGTGTAAATATACGCACAAGATATTCAAGAATTGATTTTGAACATGAGATGTTTAAAATATGCACATAAATATACACATGAAATGTTTAAAATTGCAAACATTTTTAAAGTAAAAGTACATTTCCTACTAATAATAAACATTATGTGCCTATATTTATTTAATTTTGAACATTTTATGTGCAATTATGCTCTACGTGATTTATTTGGTATGATCATGGCCTTATATCTCTTTTTTGCAAAATTTAAAAAATTCAGTTCAGGGTAACCAGACATTGTCAAAATTCCAAGTACTATATTTCAGTTATGAAAAAGCTCCTCATAGAACTCATTTGCTGTCCGAAGGCAGAAAGGGGTGTGAAGGGAAAATTAATATGAAATTGTTGTTTATTGTACGAAAGTGCTCTAGGTGACTGAAGTGTGATGTTGGAAGGTCAAATGGAGAAACTCATATTCAAATCAAAAAGTTTAGCAACAAATTTGTTTAAATTTAAAATAATTCCTTGGAAAACAGAATTAACCAATCAGATCTTTTACAGAACTAAGATTCTGTGCCATGAATATAAAAAATTATGCTCAGATTAATTACAGAGGTTTAAAAAAAGTGTCTGCATATTTAACCAAACCTGTATATCCCTGTATTAGTCGACGCCCTGAATGCGAATCCGAGGCTCGTTAGCCTCCATCACGTCAGGTTCGAGGTTTGAAGGTCCAGTAGGGAAATATTTATTAAATATATAAACCTGAAAATTCAATATAATTCTTCTGAATTTGAACTTGGGATGACATTGGCAGTTCATATCGATTACCTTTAAGAATCAAGCGACCCCCATATTCGGATTTAGCGAGAGCAAAAATAGACAAAAAAAAATATTTTTATTGAATAAATTTTTTGTCCTATTTGACCCACAACCTCGAACCTGACATTATGGAGGTTAACGGTCTCCGGATTCGGGTTCACCGAGTCTTAAACCTAAACATATATGAATTTTCAGGCTTATTCAATGAATTTTTCCCTACTTGACTTTCAAATTACTTGGAACTGACGTGATGGGGGCTTACAGACCACGGATTCGCATTGAGCGCATCGAATAACATATGAAAATAGAGGTTTTTCAATAAGCAGACACTTTTTTTTTAACCTGTGTTATTTAATACTGTCGCATATTCTGCAAGAACGAAAAAGTAAGATTTTCAACGCTATGAATGACAGGGGTTTAAGGAGGAGTAAAGATGCATTAACTTAAAACTATTGGTGTTTTGGATAAAGAAAACCAATTTTGTTTCCGAAAAAATTCTTAAATAATTCTCGAAATAAGGACGTAAATAACTGTCTAAGCGGTATAGGTATGTATAATAACTAAATACGTATGACTTTTGCATTAATTGAGTAGTGTAAATAAAATACCCAGCTGGAAGACTTGTCTGTCGGGGTTGAATCTTTTAAAGAACATGTGCAATAAATTTACATACATACAAACACTAACTAAGCTTGTTTGTATTTTTTTAGAAAATATATGTGTCTATTATATATTTTTTTGAGTGAGTAAGGGGTCTCTCTCCAAATTAATTTCCAGGCTCAATGAAACCATAATAAAGCCCTCAATATATGATCGCATTCTCGTCTGATGCAAATCGCTAGACAAAGCTACACTAATCAGGCACCTAGGGAGTGAGCAACGGGCTGCCCTCATCGGTATGGTTGGTACAATGTGGAACACTTTAAAGCGCTTAGAGTAGAACTGTACAGTTAGATTTTCAGGCGTTGTCTCTTGGAGGGAGGAAGCATTGAACTGTTTGACATATATATGTACATGTGTGTCGCAGGTTTATGCAATGGTTCGCGGAGACGTCTTCTGCTGTGTTTGTTGTAGAGTTTTTCATGCAGAGGTAACTGTCGTTGAAGAAGCAGTAGACGTATGGACCTCTGACCAGTTGGCATGAAAAGGTATCCTTGAAACGATATCACCTCAAAGGAAGCAAGGAAAGCGCTTTGCACGATTTTCCCATACAACTCATTGGAAAAGGCATGCATGAAAGTATTCGTTTAGAAACGCTCCACTTTTGGTCGACTTGGCGATCATTAGGCGACCGTTTATTTGCACTAATGCGTCACAACGCAGAAACCGTGCTTTTTCCTCACGAATTCTACCTGTTATGCTAGTTTGATGGAAAGTCGATTATCGCACTCATTTCTGCGGTGAATTTATAATAGTCTTTCAAAAAGACTCCTTGGATAGCCCTTGGCCGAAAGTGGGAAAATTTTATAATGCAAAATACGACATAACTTTTTGGTATTTAAAAAACCGGACACACAATTTTTACCATTTCAAATTCCGACATAAGTAATTTAAAACCAGGACACAAAATTTTGGTAATTTTAATAAATAAATATGTATTTTTTTTGTTCACTTAGAAAGCGGACATAATTTCTTGGTACTTTAAATCCTAGACATAACATTTTTTAATTTAAAAAATGCAAAACTAAACGTACATTTTTTGTAATTTAAAAACTTTCCATAAAAGTTCGTCCTTATAAAAACTGGACATAAATGTTTGGTAATTGGAAAACTGGACGAATTAATGTTGTCATTCCATGGCTGGCCATATTTTTTTGGCTACTAAAAATCGGACATAAATTTCTGGCCATTTAAAAACTATTTGTAAAAGTTTCCATTTAAAACGGCACATAAAATGTTGGTTATTTGAAGACTAAACTTAAGTTTTTAATTACATAAAAACTGTTCAAAAATCAGTTGCCATTTTCGGATTTTTTTAAAACTGGTCATACATTTTCATTTAAACAGTGGTCATAAATATTTTGGTTAATTTAGAAAGTGGTTATTAAATTTCGATGACTAAAAAGTTGTACACACGTTTTTGGTAATTTCAAAAGTGGGCGCACAATTTTTCTCATTTAATAACTGGCCATATACTTTTGGTCCCCCAGAAACTGTGCACATTTTTTTCGTTCACTGGGAATACAATTTTGGCCATTTAACAACGGAACATAAACCTTTGATAATTTAAAATCTGGATATATATATATTTTTTTAGTCACATAAAACCTGGTAAAAACTTAAAAAAAAAACGCTGAGAATAACATGCTAGTAATTTTTTAATTGAAACTGGATTTTATACTTTTGCAGCCGATTTCACGAAAGCAATTTAAGTGGAAAATGATTTTAATTTTTTGAATTTTATGTACACTGCCGGCAAAAAGTATTGGCACAGAAAAATTTTCAGAATGTATGCAACAATTTTTTTTCTAATATTTTCCCGCCAATTTTTTATAAATATATGGTTCATTCTACAACAAAAAACATAAACATAAAATTCCTAAACTTTGTGCAAACTCGCGAAAATTCAACAAATTTTCATGCAAGTTTTTGCCGGCAGTGTATATGGAAATTGGCAGAAAATAAAAAATCATTTCACACGATTTCACGATTTTTTTTTATATTTAGGAGAAATTTTTGGGAATTTAAAAACTGCACATGCTTTTTTGATTAGCTAAAAATTGAACCTTATTTTTATCGATAAAAGTTTATCCCAAGGTTTTTAACCTATTTGAATCATTCTTTGTTTGTGAATTACGACAGCTGCCAAATGGGTATTTTATTTCTTAATTTAATGTCTGCAAGTATGTATAAATACATATTTACATACGTACTTATGTATGTAGAGTCTGTATGAATGAAACCAGGCTATGTAAGTGTCTGGGTATGTATGTAGAATGTATGTAGTAAATGCACCTACCATTCCGGTCAAATTGTTTAAAGTACGTATATTACGTTTTCTACGCTTACGAATTTCTAAGCTACGCAAACGTTTTCGTATTCGTATTCGTACCTTAGGTGGGCTCACTTCACGCGTTGATATGCCCATCTTTTCGTGGTGCCGCAGCTGCACCGGATAAATGATCTGATAGTAATGACCGCCGATACGGCGCACTAGTTCTTGGTTTTGGCGATACTCCTTGAGAAGGCGTTCCACTTCACCTGCAATTGAAAAGAAAAAAGGAAACAGGAAAAGTTAGTCGGGTCGAATAATGACAAAGTTTAAGGTAAATGTATGTAAGTTACAGCAAAAGTCTAATTAAGAAAATTTGTGCTCCCTTTAGTGTTTTTTTTTTATTTCTCACAGTCAATATATTTATTCCTTTGTAAGCAAATAGTATGAACAAGAAGTCTTAATTAATGAAAATGAAATTTTGCACAATTGTAG